TTTATGGAAGAAAAATGAAAATCGCCTGCCCAGCCGTGGAGAGCCTGAGCACAGAGCTGAGCACAGAGCTGAGCTGACAGACGGAAACTCGCCATTTGTTGTGGTTTTGGCACCGAGGGAGCCGAGCACGGCTCGCTTAAAAGGGGCGCAGCCGAGAGCGACGGAGCAGGAGGTGCCGGGGATGCAACGCTGAGGAGAACGTGGCAGAGTCAGGAGAAGATGTGCTGGACTGTTCTGCCAGCACAGAGAAGTAGGAAACAGGCCTCTGGACCGAAGTGCTCCATTCCCAAGCCCCATCCCTGGAAGTGTCCAAGGTCGGGCTGGATAGAGCCCTAAGCAACCTGGTCTAGTGGAAGGTGTCCCTGCCCATGGTGGGGTCTTTAAGGTCCCTTCCGACCCAAACCATTCAGTGATTCTACCAAGACATGTAGTAAGGTTCTCCACACTGCATTTCCTTTTCTTCCTTGCCCTGACAAATCCTCCTAAGCCACACTCCCAAAGACACAAGAGGATGGGAATTTAAACACAGGCGTTGGGCCGTGAGGTCGTTGCCAGTAGAAGGGTATTAGAGGGGCCTGCCACAGCGAGTGCCACCTTCAGCTCTGCTCCCCACTACAGCTGCAGGGTTAAGCTCCAAGTAACAATCAAATCCAAATAAACAGGCTGAAGGAAAAACATACGGATAACGGCAATAAGAATGTCTGAACAGAGAATGAGATGGGGCCACGGGACTCTCAAAATGTTTGTGCTGCTGTCAGGAAGCTGAATGAGACAGCAGACTTCAACAGCTGGGAAAACATGTTGCAAAACAAGGAGAATTAAATAATTCTCCGTATGTACATCCTACTCTGAGGCATTTTGGACAAGCTCAGTTTCTCTACCAGAACAATTTTTTTCTTTTCCATGTTGCATATACACCCTGCCAGCGACAAATCTTGATATAGTTTAAGCCTAAACCCACAGCACATCTGGAGTCAGGCAGGGCAGCTCTGGGCAGCACAGCCCAGCCTTTAACACAGAAGTAATGGGCCCTGTGGTATGTGTTGGATGACATCCTTGGACAGCTGTGTCATCCTGAACACATCCCCTGCTGCTGGGGGCTTGATTGCACAAACATTTCCCCCTGCACCCTATAAAACACTTCTAACTGGACCATAGGTGGGGCTGCCTTGTTACCCACCTCTGAACCTTGCTATACCAGGTACAGAGACCAGGGTGTCACAGCATGCCCCTCACCTCCTTCTGTAACTTCAGGTCTTGTTGATCATGCAACAATTTATTTCAGCAAGACCACTAAGGCCAAAGCTTCTGCAAAGCATTTGGTGTGACTTACACTCATTAACAGCAGCAGTGGTGCCGTGTTGGTGCCCTGCTAAGAGCAGCTGTGTTCAGGCACAGCTCACCAGCCAGAGCTCACTACAAGTTTAAACCTGTCTCGCTTCCAACAGAAAATGAAGGTTAAAAGCAGCTGGGTGCATTTGTTCCCAGCCAGCACATCAAAAATCAATCCCGAGACATTCTAGGAGCTTAACAAGACATCCCCTAAAATACCAAGTCTCAGTGCTGCAAATTAAAGCACACAGGGATTGCTGTGGCCAGAGAGGCTAATCTGAAGATGAAAAGGTGAAAGAGCAGAGATTTTCTCCAACTAACACAGGCACATCAACACTCACTTGTCCAGTGTGGCAGTTCAGGCACCCAGCAGACAAAGGCAGTCCCCAAAGTCCGCTAAGGATGGACTAAGGAGCTCTGCACAGGAATGGCAGCTGCCCAGGCTGAGAGCAGTGCTATTCCACACTGTGCAGCCATCACCCCTTACACCCTCTGCCAGCACTGAGACAGACAACTCAGTACAATAAAGTAACAAAAATACTATGCCATGCAAAGGAGTTTTAAGGAAAAGTCTTGGAAATGCAAGTCCCTGCAGTGTGGCCTGGCTATGCAATGAGTGCTGGGGGTTTCGAGCTCTCCTCTGCTGCTCCGTGCATGCATTATTTCCATGGCAACGGCAGCTTTCACCTCCCCATCTCTTGCTGGCTGAAAGCCCTGCAGTGCTTTGTGCTGAGACTGCAAAGAGGGGAAACCATCTCCCTCTCCCGCAACGCAGCGCCAGGGACAGCGGCAGCAGCTGGGAAAAAAAGCCTTGTCTTCAGCAGTGTGGGGTCCTGGGAGGAGGGAGGCTGAGCAGAGAGGATGGGCTTCCTTTTCTGGTGGGAAACAGCACTTCCCCCACCGTGCAAAAGTGCACGCTCGCTTCCCAGTGTTGCACAACTCCACGAGCAACATGTGCCTCTCCCTGTTTTACAGAATCACCAGCTTTGGGTTCCCCTGCAGTGCTGGGAGGAGAAATGCACATCATGAAAAGAGGATAAATTTGAGCACTGCTTCCATGCAGGGATCCCTCCAAGATGGAGGTTGACCAAGCAGGCTGGAAAAAACTCCCGTCAGTGGGAAGGCCAGCTCTGTGTGCACTCAGCAACCCATTATGGAGCAAAATCTCCATACTCAGACAGGTCTGAGTGAAAGCTGCCTCTGCCCAGCACCAGCTCACACTGCACACACGCAGAAAGGGTGGTTTGCACGACATTTTTCCTTGCCTGAGCTTTTCCTCCACCCTGCTGTTTGTGATATTAAGATTCAAGCCCTGGCCACCTAGCTAGCAGCCAAACTTAACGCCACACAGCTGGAGCCAGAGTGGCCCTGGCAGATGGTGCCAGCTCATCCCCGTGCTCTCTGTGCACTCAGAGGGCAGCAGCAGCTCTGCCCCTTGCCCAGGTTACAGTTTGCCACATTTTGGTCCCTGCAAGGCTCAAATGACTGAAACTACAGGTGAGATGCATAAGAAGTGACCTGGGTATGTGTAGAGCTCTTAGTGTGGAGCCCACATACAGATACACAGCCAAAATTAAAGCTTCCAGCTGGTTCCCATCACTTGCTTTACAACATATCCATAACTGGTGCAAATATGAATCAACCTCCCTGCAAGATTTGAAGGAAAGCCTGAGAGTATCAACATGAACTCCCAAAGCAAGACAAAGGCTCAGGTGATGGAGCACAGGAATACAACAGGTCCACCATCTGGTCCTCCTCTCCCCACCCTTGAAGAGCCCTGAGGTTTCGGGAGAGGCACATTTTGACCTTCCCCTTTCCACACTTCCCCTCACTTTAGGTTCAGCTGTGCGAGTGCAGTCCTTCCAAGCAGAGAGGGACTCCTTCCAGAATCAGTCATCACCACCACAGAGTCTGCCAGAGGCACTGCTAGCAAAGCCAAAGCATCCTCTCCAACCTCTGTGGAGTTCCCTAGATTAGCCCTTTCCTCCCTAAGGGCAACTGTTTCCTGCAAGCAAGAGCATTAACTGAAATTCTCCATTCTGGAGAGAGACTGAGATAGCGGGAACATGAAGCACCACTGCAGCTGATGCCGTGAGACACCACATCCTGCTCTCCAAATTCCTCACCCTCGACTTCAAATCCTAAAGTCGTTAAAGACTTTTCCTAAGAAGAGCACAAAGCTACTCAGCAGATTTTCAGCTAATGAATCAACACAAGCTGTCCAGGAAACCAGAAATCCAGCCCACTGGAATGCTGTAACCCCGGGAGGGGGGGAAAAGGCAGTACACTGGGAAGGAAATGAAACAGCAAAGCAGAAGGAAAGGAACACTTCAGCAGTGATCCCTCTTACCACAGCTACTCTGCTGCATTACACATTTCAGGGAAAAAAACTTCAATTCGTTTTGCACACTGAAGGGTTCAAGTTTTTCAAGCCTAAATTCTGCCTGTGGTGCTGACACGTACATTTTGAAAACAATTCGGTTTTTGCAAGAGCAGTAAGAAAAAAAATTGATATTTAAACGTGAATCAACATTGCCACCTAGTGCCTAACAAACGTCCTTGCTCCAACACTGGGACAATCTATCAGCTCTACATTCCCTTCCCACACGCAAGGGGTAGATGTCAGCAAAACCTGTCTGGAGATTAGAGATTTAAAATGGAATTGTGCATCTTTCATAAGCAGATTTCTCCCTGTAGCAAGCTCAATTTTCATGTCAGAATGCAAAGTCCACTGCTGGCAACTTCAGCTTCTCCAGACAATACAGGCAAACGGGGATACCACCTCAGTGTGAGAACCCAAAGCTACGGCAGCTACAAGTGCAGGGTTAAAGCTCTCAAGAGGAATTTCAGTGGTTTGCAGAAATCTGTGCTGGGGGACAGACAGTTCCCCAAATCAAATTCATTGTTGTGGCTACAGTGATACAAGAGGCCTTGTAGCTTCAGTGGCAAACACTGATCTGCCCTGCCTTGGCTCACTGGCAACGTAAGAAGGGTCCTGCACACGTTCACAAGACTGGGAAACACATTTCTGTGCTTCTGTTATTCCCTGGAACAGATGGTGCAGAAGCAGCAAGTTTTCCCTCACTCCATCCCCCCACTTGGCCTGATGATTCTCCTGTTATGGCCATTAGCAGACTGAGAGGAGCACAAAGATCTGGTGCCCTTGGAATGGCTGACATTTCAGTGAGCTCTTCCAGTCAGTTTTTTTGTCACTTCCAACGGGATCTCTATTCAGGTGACCACATGAAATAAAAATGCAGGTTCTAATTCCCTCAAGGATTGCATGTAAGGCTGTTTCAGCTCATTCTCCATTACGTTTTATTAGATAAAAGATTACAATTTGGTTTTGAATTTTAAACGCCCAGTTCCTTGTTCACCTAAACCCCTTCTATAAAGCAAGACAACAACCTGCACCATCCATAAGCTTCTTTAGCCAACATCTTTCAAGACAAGACAGGAATCCTGCTCTTTATCAACAGCACCCTGAAATTCATCTGTCCAGCCACACACTTAGGGAGTATCAGTAGGATCCAGCAAACACTTTGGCTGCTGCCCTGTGGAGCCACATGAGATATTCATTCACCTGCTGCTAGGAGGTATGAGTTGTCCTCCCAGCTCTCCTGCCCAACACTCCAGAAGAGACCAAATGGCAAATATCCCCCAATTACCTTTCTGCAGCGGGGATTAGGGCAGCTGAACCGCTTCACATCGTTGTCCAGTAAAGCTGGGAAGTTACAGAAGGGACACCTGCAGCCCAAAATAAGATGCCATTAATGCAGAGTGCCAAACATAGCTTTGCTGAAAGCAGATTTAGTCAAATAGCTGTGTGGAAGTTACTAAGGCTGCCAACCCAACGCCTGTCACCAGGATGTGCTGACTGCTGCCTTTTTGCTCATATTTCTTCGATCACTTCCCTGTTTGCAATCAGAATATTATATGCTCAGCACTGCTTTTGACCGTGTAATTTAGAGGATCAGCACAGAGCTGGCAAGCAAGTCTTGGGGGAGACAAGTCTATTGAATTTTAATCTGCTCCTAGTCAAAGGCAGAATAAAAACAGACCTGGGAAGGCAGAAGCCTGAATTTATAATCCAGCTCTTTGAAAGCTGCCTATCTCAGAGTCAGCATGCATTTAGGGTTTCAGGGAACAATTTTCTACAGCAGTAAGTGCAGTATCCTCTGCAGGACACTCACCTGACAAGCTCATCTGCACAGGCAGCAGCCACCTCCTCCTCAGCTTTCCTCTCATAGTATTTACAGAGGATGTTCTCTGGAAGCACTTTCTCCAGCTCACTGGTGGGGAAGGAACATGTGCAACTGCCTTCCATGCAGCTGAGCTCTGACTGGGGTTGGAAAGAGAACATTGTTCAGTATGATACAATCAAAAAGCAAAACTCAGTACCCAGAACATTACCAAATAAACCAGTGCAGAGCCTTGCTCAGAGAGAATAAGAGTTTAAGTCAGCAGATTCCAGAATGGTTTGGGTTGGAAGGGACCTTAAAAAAAAAAAAAAAAAAAAAAAAAAAATCAACCAGTTCAACCCCCTGCTGGCAAGGAAGAATCACTATCCCAGGTTGCTCCCAGTTCCATCCAACCTGGCCTTGAACACTTCCAGGGATGGGGCAGCCACAGCTTCTCTGGGCAACCTGTGCCAGGGCCTCCCTACCCTCACAGGGAAGGATTTCTTCCCAGTTTTTTTTTCCCCAATACCTAATCTAAATCTACCCAAGATGACTGCCAGAGAATGGGTTCATTACAGAAAGAACAAGACTAGTTAAACAAACCAGGCCTCAAACAAACACTGGGCATGAAGATGCTGTTGACAGCTGGGATCACAGCTCACTCCAAATCCACTGTGACCACGTCTTGGTCCATTATTATTGTACATTCTCTGCTGAGAACCAGCAACTCTGCTCACGAGCAGCATGGTGCATTCATTTCAATTAAGTCATATAAAATACAGCTGCCAGTTTATACATTTACATGAAACAGATCCCAGAGCACAACAGCATCCCACAGTTTGAGCATCATATCCTGAGGCAAAGGAGCACATTTACCTCAGTGAAGGCTAATGACTTGTTTATAGCTCAGCTAAGTACCAGGATAATTGCTACCTAAATCAGAGGCTAAGAAGGTTAGTAGTACCATAGAGGTACCAACCCCCAAATTAAGTTGGGATCACATTGATATTATGAAGGATAAACAAGCTAGGAGGAGACCAGCCAAGTAAGAGAGAGGTAAGTGTTCTCTGTGCACATACCACTGGTTTATTAAGTAAAAAATAAAACCCAGACAAGTTGTTGTTGTTACTATTGTTGCAGAAAGTTACTATTGTTGCAGAAAGTTTTCCTAATAATCAAGTTGCTAAGCACAGAGCACAAAAAATGGAGGTTAGTAACACTGAAATCCTGAGCAAAGATCTCGTGAAGTCGTTGGCTTCGCGTGATGGTGAGACCGACTTGGCTTTCAGGAGACCATTCCATTCAAATATTTCCTGGGAAGCACATCTGTTTTAAGCAACAACATGAAACAAACAGCACTGTCATCTCCCAACAGCAATCTATCCATCTTCCCCTTGTTCAGTTGTGAAATTCTTACCTTCCCAGAGCCAAAAACTGCCTCCTGAGCATATTTAATTAGGCACTCCTTGCAGAACAAGTGACCGTCTGCACACTGAGTCAGCTCTTCGAAGGCAAACTCCCCGTAGCAGCAGCGGCACTCGATCATCTGCCCGTCCTGCAGCCACCAGAGGAACCAGCATCAGCATCAAAACATCCATAGCTATAGCAACACACACATACACACAACTGCAAGCCATAAACAATGCCAGCATTAATCCTAAAAACCAGCAACAGATATACACTGTTCCGTCAGAGATCCTGTTTGGTGGTCAAAATTCCCTAAGCACCACCAGAAACTCAGTTTTAAGTCACTTAATAGGCACTTGCCCTGCTTGACAGGTTCCAAAAAGCTACAGAACACGTGGTAATTAATAATTCTTAGCCTATAGGCAGAGAAGCATCTTGGGTTTGGGAAGCTGCAGTCACAGGGAAGCAGCAGAGTGTACACCACTCATAGGAAAACCCAGACTCAGATCTGTTACTCTCTAAAGGAACATTTACCATCTGCCTGGAGAGACCTTGTCTTGGCCTCTTCACTGCAGAAGTGGAGAAGCTTGCCACTGCTAAAAAGTTCTCCAAAGTTTGAAGAGAAATGGGCACTGTGACCAAAAAGGTAACCCACAGCTGCTGCAGTGTTCTCTAAATTTTCTTAAAGTGAAAGACCTGATTTTCACGTTTTTAAAGAATTTTTTCTGCAAGTGAGGAAGGCCTTCCCACTGGCTGAGCTCCAACAGCAGTGGATCTCTTTTAAACAGCCATAATGGTGGGAGCAAGAGCCAACCTGGTGCTATTCTATTGCAATGTTTGTTCTGAGCAGTGAAGATACAAGCTGAATTACTACAGATCATTACGTGCATCAATACTGTCTTGCTGGCCTCAGCTCTTGTCTACCTTTCCTAAAAGCCAGCCAACACACACTACACAGGTCTTGCCAGCTCAGCAAGAGCAGCACAGTGCAAATACAGCTTCAGAAAAAGCTCCATTCCAGAAGCCAAAAGAATCTGTGAAGCGGGAAGTGCAAAATAGTGTCTATGCATAAGGTGAACTCAACAGATCACATTACAGATACTGACCTTCTGATACTGCTCCTCATTCATCTGCAGAGCCAGGAGGAAGTCTGCATGCTGTAAGAGAGACGTGCATCTGTATTTACAGAACAGATAAAGCAATTTTCCAAACTCTACACTCATTTACATTATCTCAGGACTTGCAAACCACCATAAAAGGCTCGCTGTCTGCTTATAACATCACTCAGCCCAGCCCTCCAATCCATTAAGCTATTTATGATTCAGCTAAAACAGATGGGAGAAGCAAAGGCAGCAAGAACAAAGAACTAAATTCTATATTATGGAGGGCTGCTGGTTCAGGTTTCCACGGGCAGAGATGATCTCACCCAACGGGCCCCTCCAGAGAACATGAGCTTTGTGTTTGAAAAGAGACACTATCCATCTGCCTAGGAGACAAGGATCTTTAAGGAGCTGCTTTAGAGAGGACTGTGGGTGCAGAGCTGTGAATTCAGTCCTTCCTCAGCCTATGAGGGGAAGACAACACACGAGCGGGTGTTGCAGGGTTCTGCTTCAAGACACACAGTTCTCAGCACAGGACAAGCCGTTCTGGAGCCACAGGGTTGCCAACTTGTGGAAGGGAGAGTGAGTGGACAGCCTGCCTTGGGCCTGGTCATTACTCACCACCACCACTGAGCTGCAATTACAAGCCCTAAAGCAGCAGAGAAGCCTGCTAGCAGTTAGAGGAAAGAATTAGTAGAGTTTTTACCACTTTGCAGCAAAAAAAGGCCCAGAATGGTGTTTGCACAAGTAGCAGCTGCACATTTAAGTAAATATGAAACTCTGTGCTTGGCTTCTTTCCTTCAAAATTGAGTTACTTGGGAAGAGACATATGTGTTAACAGGTAGGGAAGGGGCAAACATAGTTATTCAATATTTGGTTCAGTGTTTGAATTTCTGTAAGAGACAGATTTTCACATTTAGGGCCAAAACCTTGACAGTTGTTGAAGTTGTTTGCACCAGAAGATCAAAGCAGCTCCTATCACTCACCTCTGCCATCTCTTTCACTTTCTGCTCATAGAATTCCTGCTCCAGCAGCACCGGTGGGAGAAGAGAGAGCTTGTCATAGGACCTCCAGTGCCGTCTCTTATTCTCCAGGAAGAACATCCGCTTCTCAATTTTCACATCCCCTGAAGCAGAGTTAAAGGCACAATGAAATGGGAATGGAGCAGCCAGAACAAAGCTTAAACCCTTCGTCCTCCACCTGCCACCAGCTGTGTAACTTCAGCATCTCAAACAGCACTGTACCAAGCAGAGGCACTAATGAAGAGGATCTCCAAAACAGGTACCAGGCAGTGACAGAAACTCAGCTGTTTTGGGACCATATCCCCTTTTTAAGAACAGTGCTTTGTGCTGCAAGCCTGTTCTGTTCACAATAACGACACAGAGAACACAACACACGCAGCTTGGCATTTACCTTGCTCAAATTTGAAGTCTATATATGAATATTGATTCATTTCTTTCCTCCTTTTTCGTTTCCCACTGGTTTCGGGAGACAGCTCCTGCCATTTTTTGATAGCATCTGAAAAGGCCTAGAAAACAACAGACAGACTTAAATCCTGTGCCTGGAAGAAAGCAAAAGCATATACATCAAGCTGAAGCACAGTACAAACATTGGCATAGGACTGATCCAAAACTAAAAAGCCAAACACCCAATATAGAGGCAATTTTACGTCCTCCCTTTGCTCACCTTGTTATGTACTCATAAAGTAATCATTCCATAAAAACAAACTAGTTGAATGGTACTTCATAACACCTCATCTAATAACTTGCATCATAGTGCAGTATTAAACAGAGTTGGTTTGGGGTTTTTTGTGGCTGAGTTTGGTTTTTTTGTTTAAAAAACTGAGGTTAAAAATACTCAGTGCTCAATCAATCAAGTGAAGAGACAAGAAGCTTTTGTTTTAGTTAAGTCATGGAATAGTAGAGAAAGAAGCTCAAGCAAGGGGAGTGTATCAGAGGAGCAGATCCAAGTAAAAAGCCTGAAGCCACACTGACATTCAGTTTGCTGATACTTAAAACAAGTGTCTTTGCATCTCCATTACAGCAAAGCTCTTATGTGGAATACAGGACTCATTCCACAAGTCATAATAAGAAGAAACAGGACACTGAGGCTTGGGCTTCTTTTCAATTACATGCAGTCAGTTAACTAACAGCAGCAGTTAAATGTTTGAAGATTTAGCTAAATGTCTGGGTTTTATTGGCAATTATACTGCACTTCAGCAGCAACCATAGGGGAACACTTCCCAGTTTAATGCATCACCCACCATCATCTAGACAGTGTTTCCCCAGCTCTCCCATTAGAGAAAGTAAAAACTTCCTGCAGCATTCTGTCTGGTCAATAAATTTCAAAAATCTCTACTAAATGGATTAAAACTTCTTAAAAGGAAAGGAAGATTCTTATAAAACCCATAATCACACACTAGCAGATGGTACAGTAAGGCAAAAGACATCTCAGTGCTCTCTGCAGACATGGGAGATAAGCCTAGGAAGGAAAACAGACTTGAGGTGGAGAACCTTTCGTGTGATTGCATAGTGTCCCTTGAGCTCGTGCAGTGCCCACTTGATGTCCTGGCTGCTCAGCATTTTGAAGTCTGCCATGAGCAGGTCAGCTGCCTGGATAAAGCACCGCTGGTCAAGGGGGGCAAGTTTGGAAAAGTCAAAGTAGTCCACTTTAGGCACCTAAGGAGAAAATGAAAGAGATGAAAAGGCTGCTATAAACACACACAAGAACACCCCAAATCACTCTTTCAGTGATCAGGACCTTCTGCAAGACCACCCAAAATTCAGGTTACATGGCACCCAGTTTGAGCACCTATGTAACAATCACCTATATAACCAGAGCATGGCATAGGTGTGCAGCCTATTGGTCTGTGCATCTGTGTAGGTGACCTGCACAAGGTAAAATATCATCATCATCATCATGATAAAGGGTGAAGCTTTATTTGGCTCAAGTTTGAGAGATGCTTCCAAGGGTAGAAAGAGGTATCCAACATTTCTCTCTCAGGCTACAGAGAGCTACTTCAACATACTCAAAGCTCAGAGAATTTTTTTGTCAAATGGACTTTTAAAAACAACTAAAATCAAGCAGCTGTAGGGAGATTTTCAGTTGAGAGACCAAAAGGCAATGCCTAAAGGCCTCACAAGAGAGACCTGAGGGTCGAGGCTACTTCATGGGAGAACGACTGTGGAATTCTTGTCTCAGTTATCAAAATGAACACTTCAGATGGGGCAGTGACAGGCAGGGCAGAGGGGCTCGCTGGAGGCAAAGGAGCAGACACTGCAGCTATGCCACAGCAAAACAGCAGTCTTGGAAATCGTCTTGCAAGCAACTAACTATTGCTATTTAACACCGTCTTAAACATGCCCAGGGGCCTCCTGTGAAAGCACAGCTCAGTCAAGCACTCTGCAAACACACACTAATCAAACCAGACATCCCAAGGTCCACTCAGGCTGAACAGACTGGCCCAGAGGCACACTGGAGATGAGGATACTCTCACTTGCCTTTGTCTCATCTTGGCTGGCAAGCAGGCTGCTGCTGGGATTCAAAACCACTCTGCCTTCCTTCTTTGGGTAATCTGGATTTTCCAGAAGAAAGTTACAAAGTCTGAAAAGATAAATATAGTTACTTCAGGGTTGGGGAGCTCAGGTTCATTTCTCACTTGTCCAATTTTTAGTATCCTGTAATTATGAGGCTACACAGGCGAGTCACAGTCTGCTCTGGAAGGATCAAGGGAGGTCCTAGACTTGAATAAACTTCAAGTAAATGACTGAGAATTAAGTAAAAAATGATCAGCTGTGTGGCTGCATAAGGAAAAGCAAACAGATCTGTCTTTCAACAAGTAAATTTACATACGTGAAGCTTGTATAGGTAAGCTATTAATCATCTATGGAAAAAACAGCCTAAAAATCCCTACAAAACCTGTGAAAGGTTGAGGTCTTCCTGAACAAAATATTACAGCTTCAAATTTGAATTAAAGCCTCCATTCTCAATCTATCATCACATTAAAGCAACCAGAGCAACCTGGTCTAGTGGAAGGTGTCCCTGCCTGTAGCAGGGTGCTGGAATCAAGTGATCTTTAAGATCCTTCCCAACTCAAACCATTCTGTGATTCCACAAATAAAGCAGTGACAAAAACATGTTTAAACTATGTGTGCATGCAATACACACTCTGAATACAGGTTTCATTGTAATAAAGCCTGAAATTACACCAGCGTTACCCAAATTCCAGTAGAAACTGGTCTGGCGAGAACAGCACTTAGAAAATAATCACTAAAATTGCTGACAAAAATTGCATAATAGCCTGTAAATGCAGCATGCCTGAGGTCCTATCACAAATAGTTATGACTGTCAGGTAAATGTAGTTTAAATGACTATTTTAGCTTAGAAAAGACTCAGCAAGCGGTTTCCAAATATGCAATTGCTGGAGACCACAAACACCCCAGCAGCCCTTCTGAAAGGGCAGCCTGCTGCAGGCTGTCGGGCTGAATCAGACTCTCACAGCTTGTTCTCAGCCCTCACCAACCAGCTGTGCTGGCTGGGTCAAGTAACAGAAGCTGTTCCTCAGTTTCCCCAGCTGTAGAATAAGATCCCTCTGAAAGGAGCCAGGACAAGCAATTAACATTTGTAAAACTATTGGAATGAGAAGGTGCTAGGCTGCAGCAAAGACATAATTGCAGCTAATTTACATTCCTGATGTCAGAAATCAGGCCCTAATTAAGAAATCTGAACTGGCTGGAAGCATTAACCCACTATCAAGGCACGATTACTTTAGCCCTGCTTTCACATTCAAAGCAGGGGCATTTCTTTTTGCTTAATCGGGTATTGACATATTGAGCCAGAAGCTTTTGACCGAGTGTGAATGCTCCCGCACACAAAAGCTGAATAGATGATACCCTGCTAAGAGGGGCTCCCACATCTTATCTTTCACATCAGTTGGGTTTTAAGACTATCATTTGGGGGGGGGGGAAACAACAAAATATCTAGGCATTGGGCATTTAATAGCTTTCAGCTCCCAGCTCCCCCCATCCCTTTGGTGAAAGATAACTGTTTTAATCCAACACAACGGCAACTTCAAGGAGCTCAAACCGCAGCTCAAACGGTCAGGATACATTTGAACTACCCTGCATGCTGCCATTTCAACACTCAGGGTTTTTGGGGATGTTAACCTTCAGTGTCTGACAATTAGTTAAGTGGGTCCCGGCGCACAACCACACACACTCACGGCACTGTTCATTAATATCTGCACCACAGGACACAGAGCTGGTTAAAAGCCTCATCCCTGCCCAAACCCAGCCACCCTTATTTATTATATTTCAAGCCTGATTCAGCTTGACACACCGTGGAGATCAAAGAGTCCCTGCCAGCGAGGCTGACCAGTGCTTTGACCCATTTGTTCTCATACAAAAGCTGCAGTGACAACTCAAAAGATAGTTTGGTTAAAGGAATAAAAATATCGAGAAGAAATCTTTATCATCCAGTAAGTGGGTAACGCACCGCTGAGCAGACACTGTAGCTGCCTACAGGGAAGCCTGGAAGCACCTTTTCATCTCACTGGGTCTGTGGCACACAATAGGAGAGAGGAGATTTCGGGAGCAGAAAGGGAAGGAACACATTAAGACCGATGGAAGCCGATAGTACGATTTAATTCCATCAGGCTTTGCTAAATCCCTGCAGGACACAAAGATGAGTTTTTTCACACAGTCTGCGAGGGTCTTGCAGCCAGATGCCCAACCTCAACAGACCAATCACCCCAAGAAATGGCCCTGCTGGTCTTCTACACCCCCACCACAACCATCCACACTGTCTGTGGTAGGGACACCCAAAAGTTGCTCCACCACTGCAGGGAAAGCACTTTGGAAAGACAAGAAAAGTTACAGTCTGATGACTTTTTAACCAAGCCCTACTTTGGAGACACTACTTCACAACACAGGCAAAGCAGCAGAATAGGAAATCTATGCCCAATGGATGGGATCATCCTTAGTTCCTCGTCAGTTAACTTATTTATGGCCCAGTAACTAATTCTAAGCCTCACGCACTTAAATACTGCTTAATTAGTGCCCCAGTTAGCTGGAAAGGGCATTGGATTTATACAAGTGAATACTCTGGCAACCAACACCTATTCTTCATTCCTGTATAATGTGTTGGAGACAGCAGTGACAGTTGCAGAGAGAGAAAGAGAGGCCACCAAGCATCAGAAACCAGTCACAAGTGATTTACTTCAAACCTCTCTCCCCCTGGTGCTGCTGGTGCCAACACACGCAATCCTTCGCTCCTCGGCTCTGCAAACTGCACCCAGAAGGGCAGGGAGATGATGCAACTCAGCAATAAGGTTAATCACTTTTTTTTTTAAACTTTTGACTCCAACCTGACTCCCAGAGATCTCCAGCATGATGAACACTAGGGTACCCCGAGCCGTTAACACAGCTCAGAAAGCAACAGTCTTCGCACTGATATTTCTTTCAGCTCCTTTTATTTCACTTCTTAGCTCATATTTCTGCTCAGTTTGACCAAAATTAGTACTTCACCAAATCTCTAGAACCAATCCTACCAGCCCTTAAATGTGCTTGCTCTACTTTATCTGTAAAGAGTGATGTGAGAGAACTCAAGCAGCACCGCTGCTACTTAAGCAAGTAAAGGGGATAAAAGCCAACATCAGGACACTAAATAATGAAGTCCAAGCCAGTATCAGCTTCACCTGGAAAAAGCCAAAAACCAGTGAAATGAAGAGGTAGGGAACCATTTTCTCCCACTCAAAACTCAACAACACACCTTCATACCGTGTTTTATAAAAGTCATCTTAACACCTTAATCCTGATACTCATCCTTTTTAAGAACCCCAGTATTAGATAAGACTAAATTATATGCAATATCTTTAAATTAGCAAATGATCTTAAAAGCAGAGAAGCTACAGCACAATATCAGAATTACAGAGGATTTAAGAACAGCTCTACTACAAGTAGAAACCAAAACCACTCTGCTCTTTTGCAGTATCAAGGCAGTGCTGAGTCCCAGACTGGATGTGCTCTGGAACAGCATCACTGGCTGGTGTGGACATGGAAATGTGCTGCAGGTTGTAGGACACATTGTGGTTCCTGGCTCTGTACTTACACATTTAAGTCATAGCAGTTCTTGATGATGATTAATTCTTCAATATATTCCTTCTTCACATCTGGGAATCTTGCTTCCTACAGTAGGAAAAGCTAAAGGTTACACAGGTATTTGAGGAGCTGTGTAGCACACGTAGCAACAGCACCAAAGACAGGGATTTATAGGTAATTATCTGGCACACTCCTGAGACTGGGGACAAAACAGTCAAGAGACCATTTACATCCATCCAGCCTGACTACTGCAAGCTGCTGGCTTTCCTTTGCTCCACACCATGATTGCTAACAGCTCTTTCTCAAAGGAAGAGTGTGGGTAGTGATGTGAAAGGCCACGAGCCCTAAGGAGAGATTCAGACTCGATGGAAGCAGAGGAGGCACGGAGGTATGACCTACAACACAAGGAAAGCTAATATTTACCTTCAGCCAGACCTTAAGGAGTTCTAGATTGTGTGCTGAAATACAACATTCCAAAAGGAAAAAACCAACACCACAAATACCCACCCAAAGCACCCAGACACACCAGCAACGAGACCAGGACAGACAACAAACCTTTACTGGCATTTCTGGGAAGGCTCTCCCAGCATTTGTCACATAGTAGAAACACTCTTTGCTGATCTCTCTCACATTTCTGTACAAGTATTGCAAATGATTGCACCATGTGGTATTTTGCTTTACAAGACTGGACTGGTCAGGGTTGTCAAGCAACCCTGACAATGCAATAGCAGCTTCTTACCCATCTCAAACAAAGTCACTGATCAACGAGGTCTTACTTGGAAAGAACTGAATTTTGTTGAACTGCTAGGAAAAAAATAGCAGTAGAAAAAAATAGAAAAAAAGATATTTTCCTCAACCTCCAGTTTTCCCAAGTAGAATCAGATATGGGATGTAGAGGAAAGACCTGGAAGGGCTGAGGGTGGTGTAAGATATAGATGCAGTAGAATAAGCTTGTTTGCAAAAAAATACTCAATAAGGCATCAAGAGGGATCCTTCCTCCCTAGCAATCAAGGGGAGGAGTGTGCAAACATTAGACACATGAATCACCACATTCTTATTTTACTTTATTTTTCAAATTTACAGCATGTTGCCCAAGCTGCTGAATATACCAACAGATAAGGAGTGCCCTTCTTGGTGATTAAGTAGTCAGTACCCCTCATGCCAACCTTCACATGCAGAGTCAGCAAGGAGCATGTGGAGTTAACATACATGAGTCCTCATGCTGCTTATCCAGTTATCTTATCCCTCAGTGCTACTGCTTGGAAATCCACACTGCAAGGGCAACTATTACCCCTTGGCCACAGACCAAACTACTGCAGGAGAGGCAGCTGAAAACAGTCACAGTCAGTTCTCAGCCACGTGTCTCTAAGCTTTCTCTAACCCACCCTCTATCCCTTTGCCAGTGTTTGGGGTCTCAGGTTTGCTCAGTTAGCTTTACATCCATTCCTAAAACAGCTCTGCAGAGTTGTGTTAGGAATCAGCCAAACAAAACCAAACCAGCAGATCCAACAGGGCAGAAGCCTTTCAGGGAACCAACCCATGTTATTTCACCCCAAACTACAGTTTTCCAAGACAGTTCATCACATGCTCCTCACCTGGTGCATGGCTGAGCATCAGCCAAAGCAACGAGGACCAGCAGCTGGAGCCACCAGGGCTGTGCTCTGAGCACGTGACACTATACACACCTTGAAAAACCTGCCTGAAAGCATCACACACACAGGAGGCAAACGAGCCCTGGGAATACTCACTGTCTCTCTGATGAGCAGTGCAGTGAGGTCCTGCTCCTGCCCAGCAGCTCCTTGTTCTGGCACGTTGCTGGAGCCAAGTTCCTGAGAGCCCTGTGCGGGGAAGGCCGGGCCTGGCTGCTCGTTGTCCCTCCCTCCCTGCTGACCCGTCTCCTCGGGCGGATGCGCCGGCTGGGGAGAAGCAGGGCCTGGAATCCCGTCCTGCTGTGGCTCCGGCCGGGGGAAGGCTGGCCCAGGAGCCTTCTCTCCATAAGCCCTCAAAGATCCTGGATCTGCCTCTGGCTGCCCTTGCTGAGGAGCACAACCATTTGCTACAGCACGTGGCTCGTCTTCCGGCATCGGGAAGTACCGGTGTCCCAGCTGGCTGTTCTCCTGGTCCGTGCTGGTTGCAGCAGCTGTTCCTTCGAGGTTTTGCTCTGTCTCCACGTTCTCTCGCCATTCCCGGGCTTCCACCTTTTCCTCCTCTTGTGCTGGAAGGTCTGCATTCTCCAGACTCACAGTTTCTGTGTTAACTAGAGGCTGTGGACTCATCTTTACTGGTAGCACCAAACTGGGACCAGGCTCCTGCTTACTTGTAAGTTCAAAGCTGGGGCCATTAAGCTCAGAGGGTCCAGCCTGCTGCAGTGCCAAGTTCACACTGTCATCCCTGCTTGGTCCAGCACTGCCCTCCACCACACGATTATACCCGTCTCCCTGGCACAGCAGGGCTGAATCCTGCAGATCCGTGCTCCTCAGGGCTGAATCCTGCAGATCTGTGCTCCTCGAGGGCTCAGCAGCACTTTCAGATCCTCCTTCTCCCCCAGTGCTTGCACCCTGCCATGGAGCAGCAGGTCTGATGACATTGGCACGCAGAGGCTGCTGATGCTTCGGGGTCTGAAAAGAACACAGACAAGGGGTAAGTAGGAATTCCTGTCTGCATGTCAGAATCCTTGTTTCAGATGCTTTTGCATCTAATCAAACGTCTGATGGGAAGCAGATACAGAGTCTGTTTAGCAAGATGCTTAATAAGGCACAAAACTGCAACTCACACATCTTTGTTTCACTTTGTTTCACTCCACCCTCAGCCTGTCCCCAGGTGCTAAGAGAAAATCTGGGCAGAACTGAGGATGCACAGGACTTTCAGAGTGGAACAAATTCCTAAGCTCATCTCAGTATCCACTTCCCTCCCAGTAAAATAGTCTGGGAACATGGAACTAACTGATGACATATTTGTCTTCTCACCAACTTATTTAAACAAGCAGGAACCAAAGCTCAAAACATTAATCTCTGGCCTTGTTCTTGCCTCTGGCAGACAGACTGCTGTATGCCAACAGAGCCTGAGTGTTCTCTGCTACTGTTTTCAACTAAGAAACAGAAGGCTCAGCTTTGCAACCTATTTTCTCAATGCTTTTGGTTAATTTAATACAAAAGTGGAATATATTCTCAAGATAATATAGATAAGAAATGCTGCAAAAATATAAGTGCATGCAACAGCCCAACATGAATGCAAATAGCATAGAGGAATATTAAGCATACAAGGTGTGCATATAAATCAAACAAGGCATGGATTGAAAACCCACCTTCTATGGAAGATCAAGTCCTCTTACACAACACACCACCTCTGGATTCAGACACACAACTTTATGGGAGCTACAACCTTGGTTAAGTAGAACTTCAGCTACAATGTAGTTTAACAATCTAGTTCTCCTCTCTTGTGCCCAAATATGATTAAATAAAGCCAGCAAAACCCCATCATTTCAACATTATTTCAGGCATCCTAAGTAGATTGCTATAACCACACAGGACTCAGAGGAATGCATCAGATGTTTGCACAAGACTTAGCTATACAGGCCATGAACAAAGCAGAGCAGCTACAAGAATGAAAAATTACCTCTGCCAAGATGAACACGTCATCATCATCATCCTCCTCAGGCTGCTGCTTTTCTGGCGTTTCCAGCAACAAAGGCAATTCTTCATCCGAGGAATCTGATATTGTGATAAGGCCTTCGTCCCTGCGGTCTATCCAGTCTGCAGAACAGCAAGTAAAGCTGAAATTAGCTCTTTGCTCAAGGTAAAACTGGAATTTACAGGGCACATGTAGCACCAAAACACCTGAAAGAGCCATCTCCACATCTGCACTGCAGCAACAGGGAAGAAGCACTCGGAGGTCACTGATCCCTCTGCAAGTTACTCTTACAGTCACTCCTCCCTCCCCAGCCCCTGAGCAAAATGCCTGCACAGCCCCAGCTGACCACAACAGCACCTGCAGGAACAGTCACTGGCACTCATGAAGAGGGTCTTCTATCCCAAACTTCAGCACAAGTCAAGGTGCTGCAGATGTTACTCTGAACAAGCCATACTTCTGCAGAGAAGTCCTGAACTTTCAGTACCTCGGGGGCACTGCAATTTCTTTTACTAATGTGCAGAGCATTTTAGCAGAGAGATAAGGTTCTCTGTGCAATTTGGCCTCTTCTGGAAGAGTGAGAATTTGCAGGAGTGCTTTATGCAGGGCTGAGATAGGGCCTGTGGCTGTGGGTGCAGAAGATATCCTTCTATTAGATGACAACCTTGTCCTCAAGGTCTGTCAAGAGTGGAATATAGATGCTACTGAACACAAGTGATATATTCAAGGCAGAAACGGGGTTTCTGTACTACAGAGAGAACATACAACTATGCTTTTCCTCAATTTTGACAAGTTTTGGTGTATTTTTTAGCATGAGTATTCATTTATCACCTTTCAGGCATACGGAGAAGGCATAATTTTGAATTGCACTCTTGGAGGAACGGGTGCCAATGCACACAGCCCTACGAGGGCACAAATGCACAGCCAGTCTCTCTCCTGTGGGGACCTCAGGAGGATGGATCCTCCTTGGATCTGCTGAAACACCTCCACATGGTGTTCCCACGAAGTTAGCAATCTCCCTTAAGGCAGTACAACATGAGAAAGACAAGAGCCAAATATTTTGCATGCCTGCATAACATGAAAGAGCTTTCTGGAGGTGGCTAAGTCAGTGTAACAGAGCAGCGTGTGACAGGACAGAACACACCACCAGCAGTTCCCAGCAACGGCACTCCTGAGAGTTTAGTGACTCTGAATCCTGATGATTGTAAGCAGAGTTTTGGAAATAGGCACAACTCAGTACTCACCTTTCCCTCTGTGACTGCGGAAGCTGTTCAAGTTAATCACTTCTTCATTCCCACCTCTCTCTGCCATTTTAAACAGCTGTACCCACAAGTGTCAGTGCCCAGGCATGGCAGGCAGGCTCACATGAGGAACTAGAAGGTAAAATAAAACCAGGAGAGGGTAAGGCAAACTCAAGGGCACCCTAAGCAGACTTCCTCAAGACTAGGCCACTAGAACATTTTGGGGCTTCTCCTGGCTCTTCCAGCTCAGTCTCATCATGAGGATATTTTTCTGTACCCCCTTCTCAGTATCTAAGAGCAGACATGTCTATTTTCTGTTCCAAAAGTTAAGAAAGTCAACTGAAGAGTGCAATCAGGCCCGAGAAGTTTCTCTGGAGAAGACATGAAGATTCTTACAGCTGTGCAATCACAAAGTGAGGAGAGATGCAGTTCTGTCCAGACAGGACTCGACCCCTCCCCATATATGGATATTCTGTTTCCAGTAAGTCCAAAACTTGATGTACCAATCCACACAGCAGTGTTCCTTCCACCATCAACTGGAGAGAGGGGCAAAAGCCCCTTGCCTGAGCAGTCACAGGGCAGCTCCACCTAAACCTGCATCTCAAACATCCCAGCTGATGTTATTACAACCACCCCTGCCACCCTTAATGCCATGAAGTCGAGCTCACTTCCACAACACCCACGTTACTGGCATGTCAGAAGGAAGCTGCACCCCTGGCAGGGCAGTATGGAACAAGTCACATTACAGAGCACACGTTCCTGCCACCATCTGCTATCCTAAAGAAGAGATTTCCCTGATTTACAGTGAGTGTTTGGTACAAATTCCAGGATACACCATCTGCTCTCAATCCAGAAAGGAGAACATGACAGGAATCAGGTTCCTTCACAGGACTGAGCTTTTGGGACTAAATGTTGCTACCCCAGCCTGTTCTCAGAGAGGCACAATGAACCAGAGGCTCCCAAACAGGATTAGAGGGGCAGAGGAATCACTGCAACCTGAACAGGAGGTTTCCATTTTATGCTCTGTCAGCTTATAGCTCTCAATCCCTATCATGGAGAGGCTGAACAGATGCAGAAACTCTGAGCACAATTTGATCACTGGAAGGAGAATGAAGAAAGTCTTTTTATTGAAAAGTATTCATCTCCTTATTGCAGCACAGAGGAATCTGTACTATTAAATATTTACTGATGCATAAGTTGGAAGAAAATGATGGGTCTGCTATAAAAATCCTGTTTGCTAGTACACAAGAGCAGTATAAATTCCTCCTCAGTAATTCTACTTAACATCCCCTGCAGGGAACAGGAGTTGCAGCTAGGGCAGTAAAATGAAGAAATCAGTTCAGATGCACAGGATACAATAATAATAATAAAAATGTATAATTTAGCACTTAAGAAAGCTCAGCAGCTCAGCTCAGTGCCTGAAGCAGCCTTTTCCAGAGGGAACCTCCAGCAGAGAGGTTTCAAGGCTTGGCTACAAACAGCCATGGCTTGGCTACAAACAGTCATGCTCACCTGATCCCTGAACTGGTGATGGTCCAAATTTAGTGGGACATTGGGTGAGGGAACTGCAGAGGCCTCTTCTAACCAGCATTACCACAAATATGCAACCACCTCTGTACTGAGCCCTGAGACCTCAGCAGCACACCCTGGTCCCAGCAAGCAACTCCAAGATTATCATGGGTACAGTGATGCTTTGAAAGTGTCTGAAAAACAAGATTTCGGCAGCATTTCCACCAGGTTCTTCAGCTTCTGCCTTATAAGGAGAAACAAATCTTACTTTATTTGCCAGAATGGCATGAAAGCACTGTTCTCATCATTGCAGGCAGGTGCTTGGGAGCTGGGTCACTGTAAGTGTGCTTGGTGAAAACCCTGGCCTTTCTAAAAGGTCACACCCACATTATTACAGTTGTATTTTCCCTGGTGCTCAGGAATAGCTACCACCTAGTCCTGTGTTATTACTCTTCCATCCTTAGCTCTCTGAGTCATTTAGCAAACAAAACCAACACGCTTCTTGCCATTTAAAATACAGAGAAATGGAGGCACAGATGGGACCAGCGTGGCCAAGGTCACCGAGCAAACACTGCGAAGCAGCACTTGCAGGCTGGCTGGGGAGGAACAAGGACATTTGTGAAAGCCACAAATCAGCTCTCAGAGCATCAAGCAGTGCAGACAGAGGCTGGACAGGTGTCTGCTCGGATCTGCTCCAAGCAGAGCTAAGTGGCTGGATATTCCTCCCCTTCAGGGACATGTGGTTAGCAGGGCTGGGTGTGCAGGTAATGAGGGTGGGATGACACTGCAAGTGCTCAGCACAGCCACCAAAAAAATCTTCTCCTAAACAGCTCAAATGGTGCTTTGTTCAATGCTGGCTAAACCCCAGCTGTTCACATACAGGAATGATGGATAAGCCACAAGACATATTAAGGTTGTATTTTCTACAAGCTACTCCGATCCTGTAGAGAGGAGCTTGCACACTTCAACCTTCAGCATTGAGAAAGGGGTACAGGAAATACTCTGAAATTAAATTTGGGACAAAAAACTGTCTACCCTCTCATACAAGACAAAAACGTGCACACATCACCAACAGACTCATGGTGATTTAAAAGCAGGAATATAATAAATAGCATTAACAGTATACACAGTCAAAGCAACAAAAAAAAGAGCCAAGCCTGGAAAGAACTGGCAATTCTTTCTGCTTCAAAACAGACTGAATAAAAACCCAAGGAGCTTAATAAAGCCCTGCTTTGAGGGTAAAAGCCAAACTTCCACCAAGAGCTAGCAATTCATTTTGTCAATACTCAGTACAGAGCTGAAGTTTAAACAAATATCTATAAGCATGGGCCAGTTCCATCTAGTGGCATGAATAAGAAGTTTATTCATGTTTATAGCACCAGGCCGCCAAGAATGTGAAGTAACAAGATCAAAGCCACCCTGGGGTCTTGCCCTACATAAACAACAATAAAAAAGCAAGGAAGACAGATGGAAAGAAGCTATTCCATGCTACCTCAGTGATTTCAGTGTCTATTTATAGGTAAAGAATAAGGCTACCTATAAGCAAGCTCTAACATGCCCATCAGCTTTTCTGCAACACAGTCAAGGACAGGAAACTAGAGCTGTTTTAAAAGCAAAGGACCTGGCAGCAGCCAGATAAACATTTTGCAAGCTTTTTAGTTTTTCTTTTTTTCTTAAAAGGTTCCCACCTGCACTATAGCACATCAAGCTGGATTTGGGACTGGAATCCCTATACAGTATCCAGGTGACACAAAATTCATCATGACTTCTAAGATTGACAGTGCAGTGAAGATCACCCCAGTTCCACCCAATTTCACCTCCACTTTTCATATTACTCCACATATTCATGGTTCAGAATCACAGAATATCCTGAGGTGGAAGGGGCCCACAAGGATCATCCAGTCCAACTCCTGGCCCTGCACAGGACACCCCAACCATCCCACCCTGTGCCTGAGAGTGTTGTCCAAATGCTCCTTGAGCTCTGGCAGCCCTGGGGAGCCTGTTCAGTGCCCAACCACCCTCTGATGCTGCACATTCGAGTTATGTCACTGCACGGGCAATAAAATCCTCCCCATTATGGATTTTCCTACAGCAGTTTGAGAGGAGAAGGACCCATTAACAGAACAGCTACTGGGAAAACCAGAGACCATCAGGGATTTACCTGTAACAGTCCTCTGAACTGATTAGACCTCAGACTGACAGCTGAAGTCACATGTACTTCCCGACAAGCTCCTCAAACATGCAAAAATATAATCCACAAAACCACTGGTCCCAACCACTGCTGTGACTTAACGGATCAGCTGCTGTGAGGTGAAGCAGGTCTCGGGAGCACACAGAATGCTTACACAAGGATTTCCAAAACCCAGGCAAAATCCTTTCAAACACCACATTACATATTTTTAGCCTAACCTAAAAATAGGCACCATCAGTGCTGTGCATATATTTAATCTCCTGGTATATGGAGGAGTTTCTGGGCTGCAGTAACTGGAGCAGAACTCAAATCTGCTCCCTCCACCTCACATTTGTGCTGTGATGAGCATCTTCAGATGGTGCTGGTATTTAAAATGACAGTCAAGGGGAGACCCCCCCCCTCCTTACAGTGTAATGTATTTTACCCCCCACTTACAGCATTTGAAATCTTGAACTCCCACATACCCAAGATGGGACTAGACTCAAAGTGTTCTTTCCTGGCTCCAGCTCAAGGCAACAGGACCAGACAGAAAGCACTGCAGGGGAGGTAGGAATTGGGATCCAAAACGAACAGGGGGAAGAGTGGGGGGGGAAAAAAAAAAAAAAAAAAAAAAAAAGAGCAACTTGAAAGAGATGTCAGCAACATCAAATCACTGTGTTTTAGCCTCTCCCCCACACAGCAATACCACTGTTGCTCACCTACATTGACAGAAGAGCATCAACTCCTACTTTGTGCCTGCGGGCAGCAAATGTGTCTGCTGGTAGCCTGCGAGCAAGGTGAATTCCTGGCTCGTTTCAAGCTGCTAAAACAAAGAGAAGCTACTTAAATAATGCATGGCTTGTGACAACCAGCAAAATGAAAAGCGAAAAATTCAGTCCTTAAAAAATGTAAAAAAAAAAAAAAAAAAAAAGGCACGACAGAAGGGAAATAAACCAGCCTGACTTACTGTCAAGCATTTCACCGAAATATTTCAAAGGGTTCACAATTTGCTGGGGGCTGCTCCTTGTTAAGAGTCACTGAGCAAAAGCAGGGAGAGTTTAACAGTGGTTTATCGTGTTAAGTGGCATCATCCCAAGCAAAAATCAGAAATCCCCTGATCACAAGCCCAACAAGAACTGCTGGGCACAAACGAATCCCGTTTGCTATTCCAAGGCAGTTACAGTCACAGCATCACATCTCCCAAAGGGACAGAGCCAGAGGTGGACATTATGAAGAGGGACAAGAGGGATGAATCATCAAGCTTTTCTGGAAGCAACCACAGCTTCTAGTTCCTTATTCCTCACCCTTTCTTACCTAGGAAGAAAAGCAGTGAAGGAAGCAATGTTCTTTCCACCCAGGCTCACCACTGGTCACTGCAGAGTCAGCAGCAGATACTCAGATCACATCAGGAGACTCTGATGTGAGAGGGTCTGTGGATTAACAGGGGATGAGCCACATCTATGTGTCACTGCTCCAGACTAATGAGAGTTGCTTACTCAGGAGCAATCAAGAGAGCAGATATTTAGAGATTACTTGGCTTCAAATCCCCAACCAGATTTTTCCCCATTTTGTAACTCCACTCAGGACTTACAGGAAATATCCTGACTGCCTGTACATCACAAGACTTCACATCAACCTTATTTGCAGTTCATCATTCCGTTAAGGTCACAGTATCACTTAATAATAATTTTTTAAGTACCCAATTGCCATTTTTATTGCATCTAAACCACAAAGTACAAGAGGAAAGCAATCTGCCCAGTTTTACCTAATTCACCTAACAGTGGGCCACATACATTGACACCAGTTTTCCTCCCCAAACCTGCAAAATATTTGCACTTTCCTGGCAAAATCTCTTCTCTGTGAGCTCCTCTCTAAAATGTACAATGTCTTGCAACAGCTGCATTCGTTTTTCACTACTGGGCAACTTAACTGAAAGTTTCAGATTCCTTTGAGCTATTCCCTGGTGACTGGCATCAAGGTCAGCAGCTGGACACTTGAGTGCCTTCCCACGACCCCTGTCAGTCCTGCTAAAAGAAGGGTTCTGTGTCATCACATCTCCCTGACCAGCATGAGACTCCTCATTTTGATACAGGCAAAAAAACCACTCTCTGCACAAGAGGTGGGGAGCTCTGGATCAGTCATTTGCCTCTCCTATCGAACTGAGTTCTGAAAAAAGTTGAATTGACAAAGTCTGGTTGGAAAGGAGAGATAATGCCATCGCCTTGAGCAGCTCATTTTATGTGCAAAGTGAAAATTCGAGGCTCTGAGAGGAAGAGGCGTCCCTGCAGTTAGTTCCTGTTAAGGGCAGTACTCTGCCTGGCATGTGCAAGATCATCCAGTATAATCCCCTAAATCCAAAACCTCCCTCCCACATCACAAACACAGGTGCCAGCTTGGCATTTCATGTTCAAGCAACAATTCAGGCACCAGCAGCTCAGCCCTTGGCTACAGCACATACACACAAACCCGGCCTCGCTGGGCTCACAGAGCCTGTCTCCCAAACCATCATTTTAAAGAACTGATTTATTCTGATTTTGTGGTATAAGGGTGGAGGGGAATGCAACAGCATGTGAAGCCATGTGACTTGCAGCTCTGTCGCTTCCAGAGCAAGTTTTACTTCCAGTTTTCTTTCCCTGAATTCACGTGTCCTTTGAGCAGTGCCCTGACTCAGACACCACACAGAGCTCCAGGAGCTGCACATACCTGTCACAGCTCCACACAGCATTAACTGCAGCTGCCTTCCCTTCCCCACAAACCCAGCAGCCACGTGGAAAAGAACAGGAGAAATGCCCTGTGTGCCCCAGGGTACACACCAGAGTGCTCCTCTGTTACTTGTACTTCACAGAGCTCTCCAGGAGAAAGGATTCCTCTCCAAAGCATTTCCTCTCCAAATCCTCAGTAGTTTTTCTTCCTTTTTTTCTTTTCTTTAAGGGATCCTGAATCTCACTTTAAAAGGCTTAAAAGAAGAAATAAATCCAAGTGCAACCTTTTAAGTAGTTATTTAACAAAGTTGGATGCACATCATCAGGAACCTTCAGGTTACCATCTCAGCATTGCTTTTCACTGGAGAGGAAACAGAAATAAGGGATTTAAGGCTACTGGGACAGGCTGTGGCATTGACATTCACACAGAGCCTGCTCTGCTCACAGCCCTGTTTGCAGGGGCACTGGGAGCAGGGAGAGCCAGGCTGCACACAAACAGCAAACTGCTATGAAAAGCAGCAGCGAGGGACTAACTAGACCAAAGCCAAGAGGGTTGGAAAGCACAGAGTCAGGTTTAGTTCCAGGACCAGCCAGAGGACTTTAAAATCACAAAGGATTGATAATCTGTGATGGCATCCTGGATGTTGAGAGGCTGCCCAGCAGACCAACTTTGGAAACCATCTAAACTGCACTTGGGAAGTTGTGCTCCAGAAAAAAAAAAAAAAAAAAAAAGGCATAACAAACCACCAGGAACAAATGTAGAAAGAAAGGTGCAGGTCACACTTAAAATAAAAATACAAAAATATCCCCTATCACAAGAAACTTTGCTTTCAAGCATATCACACCTCACCTCATTCACAAAGCTGCTGACAACACAAAAGGTGAGACTTGACCTTGAGGTAGCACAGGAGGGAAAAAACCCAACTGACTGCAGCAGCCCACCTTAGCTGAAAGGAAGGTGTCCATGTCAATCTGCACAGTGCTTTTAGAAGTACTGACTTCAAAGCCTGCCACCGACCATTCCAGGTGTCAAACATCCCAGAGAGAGGGACTTCCAGAAAGAATGACCTCACAGGTCACATACTCTGGTTATTACAGCCATGCCCTTTTTTTAGAGCCATGTTAAGCATCTGCACTTGCCATAATTCCAAAGGTCAGTGGCCAGAAGCTGTGGCTTCAAGTTCAGAAGGGCTCCACTGCAATGCCTACTTAAGGTGGTCACATTCCCACACCACGGTTTGTCTCCTCCTCTCACACAGTTCCTCCAGCATTTCTGAGAGCTTTGAAAGGAAATGCCCTGGAAAATGTTTTTGCAGCATTCAGATCAGATACTTTCTCTCCCACATGGTGGAAGTGGGAGAACAGAAAATAAACTGAAGGCAGGGAGAAGATCTTAAACTGCGGCCACAGCCAGTACCTGACTAACACTCAAACTACACGTGCTCCTACTCTAAGGTCAGGCACTGCCTCTGAAAGATGCTTTTACACAATAAATTGATAGGTTTAAATATGTATAAGAGCCAGTTTAGAGCCATAATGGGCCAACAGGCCAAGTTCACTCCACAGTGAAACAAGGTTAAACAGCCTAATGTACTGAGATACCAACAGAAACATTGTAAGGCAGGTGCAACACCCGGGCAGCAAGGCCACACTCTGCACTAATTTCTGCTGGAAAGGGTAAAAAATGAGCTGCATGTTGCACCCACAGAACTGCTACTATGTCCTTGCTGCTCCAGCACCTCAGATAACCAGGTGTCAAAAGATTTTCAAGCTGGCTGGCAACAGCTTTTGTAAAATCAGGTTTAGTTTTGTTTGCAGCCACGTGTAACCTTGTGGCCATTTCCATCCCAGCAAGCTCTCAGCAGTGAAAACCCAGGGCAGCCTTCCAGGCTCACCACATCACAAGGCACTGCCACTGTGGGGTTTAGGCAGAGTGAGCTAAAAGAGCAGAAAAGCAAAGAGGTTGCACTCGAGGCAAGTGCCACTATATGAGAACTGAGAACAGTGAAATTAGATTGTGGCTGGATTTACAGATGCTCCACCTCCAGCATGAGTCTCTTCTGAGACCAATAAAGTTCATGAATGAGTGAATTATCAGCTAAAAAGCAAGGGAAGAAGAACTGCACGTGAACTCTCCAGGTCCACAGTCACACAGATTCACAAGGCTGCAAGGCACCCACCGATATCATCCCAAGGCAAACAAACATTTTGCATACACAAGACACAAAAACCATCACGGGCCACAGCCAAGGGGTTGCCCAGGCTGCAGTCAGAACTTTCACCAAGGACACACTGCTTGCAGGCAGCGAGTCCTGTGCCCACCCTTAGTCATTGCACTCAAGTGTCCAACACCGGTTTGAGCCTTCACGCAGCAGAACAGAAATTCTTTCCTGGGTGTTGCAATAGCAGAAAGATTATTTAACCACCTGGGATGGAAGGTGAGTAAAAACAGCCACGAAGTGCTAAATAAACACAAGCCCATTCAGCTGAGGAGCACCCTCCAGACACTGTGTTCAAGGAAAAGGTGTGTTCCAGCTGCTACAAGCTGGTCTGTGCTAGTCCTGGCAGATCCAAGGGTACCTCCCAGTAGATACACAATGAAGCCTTCTCCACTACAATAGGATTCTGGTTTAACAACCCACAGAGAGGACATGAACTATTTACAATAGCCAAGTTACTGCTCACGGGTCTTGCTCATCTGTAGCTGGAAATCCCAGCAGCAGGGGAGGGATGAAACGCCCTGTGCTGCTGGTTTCCTGAAAGGGAGAGAAAGCTGCTTTTCCTGCCTCCCCATTATGCTGCTGCTGTCATCTCCCTCAAATTGCATTACAGCACATGATGGCGGAGCAGGGAGGGAAGGAAAGCCCTCAGCAGCACTGTGGCTGTGCTGCAGGCAGCTGTCAGCACTGCTGCCCCTTCCCTCTGCCAGCCCAACGCGTTCGGCCAACAGCAGCTTGCACCTGCCAGGGGTACCTGGGCCAGTGCTCCTTCCATGACCGGCCTTCAGGTAAAAATCCATGTACATGAAGCATTAGGGAGAGTTTTCCCTCCCCCCTCTATCAAATACAAAAACACATGCTGTCTTTGGGATGGGGTTTGGAAGCAGAGGTGTAAATCTGTTCCTAACTCCAGTTTTGCAAACGCTGCAACAAACCAACCTCTGCCTTCCTTCCTCCAAGGAACAGCAGGAGCAGTGCCCACAGCTCGGTAAGAGCGTGTCAGTCTGGATAAAGCAGCACAGGAGCCTTGTGCAAGGAGTGCTTCAGACAAAACATATTACTAGAGGCTGTTTTCCATCCTTATACTCTCCATACAAAGATTCCAGCTAGTGCGAATCCCGATCACCTTGTTCTGCAGAGCGGTATCACGTGATGACTCTACAGATCCTGTCCAAATGTTTCTCTGAATAATGCAAACAGTAGCTTGGCCTCCTTACAGGGGGAGCAGGCCGAGGGTGAGCAACACCACTGAAGCCAACTGAAAACATTTCAGGTCACCCTGACACCCACATTCACTCACTCCCAGTTTTATTTCAGCTCAACAACTTTGCTTCTCTTTACAAGAGACAACCACAGCCTCCAAAACTCACCTTGGGAGCAGCCAGGCACCATCAGCACCAGCACAGGAGTGAGGCTCCCCAAAGCCAGCAAGGAAGCCACACTTAATTTAAATTCCCCCTGACCTGGATCAGGAACACTGGGAGGTGGCACCATGACTCGGGGCAGCAGCTGCCCTGCGTTGAAATCTTTCCCCAAAGCCCAATGCTTTTTCTAGTTAATCAGGCACTGACAGCTCCCCTCATGAACACAGGGAGGGAACCACAGTGGGGCTGGTAATTAGGAGAGAGGTGTCATTCAGAAGGAATATCATTTCCTGTCCTCAGGAATTAAGCTTTCTCAAGGATCGTTACAAACTTTAAACCACTGCAAGCTCTTAAGCACTGAGCCAGAGGAAAAACATCACTCCCAAGATATTCCAAAATAAACCTGAAATTCTATAAAAGTGACATGAAGGCTGCTGAGCACGAGATTGTCCCAGCTCAGTGAAACATTCCTTATTATCTCACATCTCAGTGCTCTGGCAAGGCTAACTTATTCAAGCCACCAGGATGCTGCTAAGTGGCTTTTCCCCCCCTCTTTTCCTGTTTTCTCTGCCTACTCCTCCCCAATTTCCCAGACTTCCCCATTCCAGTAACCTGCTTAAAAACAAAACTACTCCAGACTAATGTTGGTCAGCACATTATTCAGCCCCACTTCACACACAGGAACTCCCAGTCACTACACAAATAAGGTTATCTCCTGTGCTTCTACTAGGAGATAGCTGGAGTCTGCAGGCAGATGTGTTTCACACCTTCCACTGCTCACTGTATTTAAAAAGGCACCTATCCCACCAGGATAGATCCCAGCAAGAATAATCTCAGTTACATGGAGCAGCTTAAAAAGCCCACCCATCTACCAACAACAATAAAACACACCATTGTTTCAGTGCACACACAGACCTCTGAGACTATTATTGCCTTGCCTTTAAGCAGTTACAGCGATGCCTGAATTCAATAATGTAAATGGAGGCTTAAAATATCTCCACACCAAATCCATCTGTAAAAATCCCCAAAATTCCAGTGACAGGAATTAGCGGTGCAGTTCTGTCTGTCCCAGAAGGAATGCAGCCAGTGGCAAGCCCCAACACCCAGCGCCGTGACACAGTAAACCACTCACAATAAAAAGATATAAATAAAAATAAGACACCCATTCCAAGCCAATGAATGGGAGCTTCTTCCAGCAGGCACCAAACAACACCCGAAGGGCTCCGCATCTCTCGCACTTGGGTTTGTGCTGCTCCCGGTTGTTAATCAGCTCCTGGCCCCTGGGATGTGCTTCCTGTCTCTCTCCAGCTGTGCTGGAGTCCCCGGAATTGCGTGCTCGCTCCACCTATTTTTGCCACAGGACTTTTTGGTGATTTGTGTCCAATTTCAAAGCACAAGTCACGCTGCCAGCGATCCCAGCTCCCGGTGGCAGGAACGCCCACTGCATTCTCAGGCAGACAAAGCACTGCTCTACCCAGGAATTTGGACTTCCCAGGCAGCTCCTGAAACTCCAACCCTGGAACAGGCTGCCAGCACCCCGCTGGAAACCAGAATGTACCTTATCACCCATAACACCTGCCCCAACTGCTCTTCCAGGGCCTGCTCTTTGCACCCTGGCTGCCCAGCTGCAGCCAGGCCAACAGGAAAACATCCTAGGAAGGGAGAAAAAGAGATGGAAGAAGGCCTGTTACCAAAATGCAGAACCACAAAGCAGGCTGAATGTCTACAGATCTTCAGGAAATGCGTCTGAGTCCCTTCCCAAGTCTTGGTATTCAAGGCACAAACTCCTGTCAAGATGATTGTTTATTAACATCGAGTCACACCAGCAGACACCCAGCACATGAAATCTATTAACATGTTTACAATTGCAGAAGGCCTGATGTGAGGCAGTGGAATTTTTGCACAGCATTCACCCTAGAAATTAAAAGCTGATATTAAAGCTGTAAATCCCACAGTCCTGGGATTAAAAGCTGTCCCTGTAATCCTGCAAGTCCTAAAGAAAATGGGTTCCACCACATGGTTTGAGCTGCATATTCCCATGTACCTGTTCAGGGATGTACCAGAGCCTGCTCGAGATGTGAGTCTGCAGAATGATGGGTCTCAAACATCCCCCCCTTGCTTTCCAAACAGGTTGCTGGAGGAAAAACCCTTATGTCCCTCTTTGGAAGCAGGAGAGGCCACCTTAACTCAGAATGCAAAGGCCAGTCTAAATGCCTGATAGGGGACACCTGCCTTCTCTTCCACTGCTACTGCTGGAAACCTGTGACAGCTCCAAAGTGCATCAGGTGAGAGAGCAGAAATTGTAAGAAAGAACCAACCACCACAGAGACAGAATAGAGAAAGAGGGATCTGCTCACAGGTCTTAGCACCAGGACTGCCTGTGCCCCTCAGACACCAAGGCAACGACTGACTGCCTTCAGAACTGCTGCCCAAAGCAAAGCAGGAGCCTGCTGTTCCATAGGGTAGGAAGGGAGATGGGAAAGAAACACAACAAAGAAAGCTGTGAAAAGCACATGGACAATAAGCTGAAGTCCCTCAGCATCACACCTTGAAAACAGAAATAAAAGTGCACAGCAACACCAGCTTTTCTCTTTCAAAGTACCAGAGGTCTCACACAGTGACCAAACCATAACACCATGTAAGAAAATGACCCTTGCTCCAGGAGCTGTAAGGAAACGAACAAAACCATGAACCACTAAACTTATTTGCATGAAAACTACCACCCTAAGTATCTTTCAGTAAGACCTTAAGGTAAAGTACAGGATGACTCTCAAAGACAACACTCTGGGTCAAAAAAGCACAGGTGAGATGAAAAGAAAAACCCCGTGGGCTGGACCCACAGGTGCAATCAGCCCTTATCCACCCAGGCCTCCAGCCAGCACAGCTGCAAGGCCAGGGATCCATGAGATGAGGGCAACTCTTAAATGGTTTTAAAGAGTTGCCTTTTTGCCCACCCCAAGGTGCCGTGTGGGCACTGCCCGGGGAGCTCGGGCTCCTCTCTTTGCACACACACTGTAGTTCACCACAGCTCTTCAGCCTCGGAAGCCTCGGGTGGGATCCCGACCTGCCTCCAGCTGTCTAGGGGGGCAAGGTCAGCTCCAGAGACAGAAAAACTCACTGGACACGTCCCCCACGTAAAGGCAGAGCGTGTTAAAACTTCCAGGCTTTGCTCTCTCTCCACCGAGCCGAACCGGCACTCAGATAAACAGAGAGGGAAAGAGGAGGAGGAAGAGGAGTATCTCTTACACAGATCCCTCAGCTCCGGGGACAGCTGTGTTTGGGTTTCCTTCCTGCAGCAGCTCCCACGGCAGATACCTGAAATGTCGAGATGTCCCAAAGGCACCGAGTGGTCCCACACCGCGGGGGGGTAGGGGACGGGCAAGAGAGAAGAACAACCTTTTATCCTCCTGCCCCCACCAGCTCCGGTTTATTCCCGAATACAAACACCTGGCCCGGGGTACCCGGAGAGCAGCACCTGTACCGGGGTGTCCCTCGGTGCTGGGGGAGGGAGGGACCCCAGGGCCGGCAGGGGGTGGGGGGACCCCCTGAACTCGTTGAGGGGAAGAGGGGGAAGGGAAAGGACTCGGTTCTGAGGGAAGCTGAGGCGGGACAGAGTGTCCCCGATCCCGAGGGAAAGCGGGAGGGCCTCAGGGGAAGGGGGAGTGGTGACGGACACGGGGACGGACGGACGGACACAGGAGAGCCGGCTCTGAAGGGAAACAGGGGGAGAACGACCTGCCCCTGAAGGGAAGCGAGGGGAAGGACCCGGCCCTGAATGGACGGACGGGACGGACACCGGGCCCTCAGGGGTGGGGGGGACACCCCGGGCAGGCCCCGGCCGGGGGTCCGGCGAGGCCCAGGGACGCCCTCTCTGTCGCTCGGGTCCCGCGGGCACGGGCGGCACCGGGGGAACCCCCCCCCCCCCGGCACTCCCGGACCCCCGCGGGGGTGTCGGAGCTCCCCCCACACTCACCGGCCCCTCCGGCCCCCGCTTCATTTAACCGCCGCTGCCGCCGCTTCCGCCCGGCCCCGCGACACGTGACCGCGCCGCCCGCACCATAGAGAGGCAGCGGAGAGAGAGAGCGCGCCGGGAGACGGCAGCCCGGGAGGGCCCGGAACGGCCGACCTACCATAGAGAGGGGGAGGGAGTCCGGCGGAGCCGCGCCACGCCCCTGCCGGGTGGGAGGTGTGCTCGTGGGGAGGGGGCGGGGCTTGAGGGAAAGGGGCGGGGCCAGGCCCTGCACGTGTGTCCTGGGGGCGGGGGGACAGGGAGCCCTCGGGGGCTTCCATGGGGGGACAGGGACCTCGTATGGGGGTCTGTGCCCCCCCTGTGGGGGCTCTGCTGAAAGGGGGACACACGAGTCCTCGACTCAGACTCGCACCCGTCCTCCTCCGCTTGCAAAACATTAATAATTACAGAAAACCGCAACAGAGAAACAGAGACTCATCAGCGTTAATGACTCTTCTTCCAGCTCTCGTTAAGGGGAAGATCATAATTTCCTTCTGGAAACTGAGGATTTGGAAAAGTAACAGGGCAAATGATAAGGTAAGAAGGGAAAAAGGTTGAGGCTGGTAATTAATCACCTGAAGAATGAAACAAAGTGTTCTGCCTGCAGGGGAGGACTTTCATCTGGGCAGTCCGTATAGATCAGTTAAACCAGTTGTATTTCCATGCTTTATCCACTCGATTCCCATACATTTAAAAAATTTAACAACCCTTAAAAAAAAATCTGTTGGATACCAAGAGTTTAAAGTTGTGAGTTTATTGCATATGTAACAAAAATGAACATGACCTCCTGGGTCCAGCCTACTATACAATCACTGTTTATTCCAGCTGGTTCCATAACCACATTAAATAGAACTAGTATTTCTTTAAATACTTTGATTTAGACATAAAATGAAACATTAGTGTACAACTTTCACAAAATAAATCTGCAATAAAAACAGTGGGAAGAATAACAAGGATAGCAGCAATACTTAAAACATGACATTACAAAATAATAATAAATTAAAAAAATACATTATAAAGTGGTTGAGGAACAACAACAACAACAACAAAAAATTAACAAATTAAAACCAGATCCATACTGTGTTTCTGGGAACTTGCTGTACCACACGGCCCTGAACCTGGGCACTGGCTCCAGAGGGCCCGGTGGCTGGATCAGTAATTTACAGAATCTGCTGGATTTTAGAACCACCTCGACTGGAAGCGAGGACAAACTGCTGAGCGAGCGCCGGTCGCACCGTCTGGAGCCTGGAGCAGCCTTTGTGGAGCAGGGTCTCCTCTGACGTAATGCCCAAGTGAACACTCACACCCATCCAACAGTCTCGTTTCTTCCCGGTTGGAAACACGAGCAGAGTGGTGGTTTTCCTACATCCCTGAGCGTAGAGTAAAGGCTGAGGAGCAGGATCAGGGCACGGCAGGGCGGTGCTGACGGACCAGCTGTACCTTGTATTCCCTTCGGGCCAGATCCAAGAGTATCCGCGCACAAGGTGGGACGTGGAATGACAAAATGGACACCGGACTCGATGTTATTCTTTGGGCAAGTTTGAGAAGTTAACAACCAGTTCAAGTGCTGGCAGACCGAGTGGGAATGGACACACCAGTTCAGACAGCTGAGGTTATCCGAGACCTCCGGGAGCCGCTGGCTCAAGCCACACAAACTCCTGTTTGCACTCCGTCCTTCCCTGGCCTCGGAACTGGCCTCAGGAAGAACAAGCCATGGCTCCAAACCCTCTCTGCCTCGCTTCTTGCTGCTCCTCCATCCACCCAACCAGCTTTAAGGCCTGCCTCAAACGCACGTACAGAACAAGACAGAAAATGTCTTCGTCGTCACTGAAGTGGCACGAAATTGCAAAGACAACACGATGGGAGAGGTGGTGAAGCTGTTGGAAAGAGAACTGAAATAATTAAAAAGACAGTGCCCCATTCTCGTCACCGTCGGCATGGAGGAGGTACCTTGACAAGGGCTTTAAAATACAGCAAAAAACAGACGGACTTCTCGGAACAACAATCCTTGCCTAATCTTATGTTGTGCATTCAATAAAACACTGACCTAGCAAAGACATTAGGAACTATCATATGCCAACTGTGTCATTGACATAAAGCTACTTGACCTACAGATCTCCAAATCAAGGACTTTTCCCTTCACCTTGCTTGGTTTGCACAGAGCCACTTGTGCTGCAGGTAGAGCTTGTGTGATAGATTTTTGTTAGGGCTGGCCTTTAGTATCTGGGTTTGGGGTCTTTAAACTCCTTTAGTGAAAAATCCACATGAGACTGCATGCAAAGCTTTTGGGCAATAATCCATTTTGCATTTTTCCTATCTGACTGGTTTATTGCACATTCAAACGTACTGAAAGGATTAAATACACTCTATGAACAGGTCTGACTTCGAAGCCATTTGGAAAAAGCCTGGGCTGTGGGGACTCTGCTGCTCAACCCGAGACCACACGGGTGCTCTCTGCCACAGTTGCATTTCCTCTCTTCTCTGCAAGAATTGTGTGGTTTCATTTACGTCCCAACAACCAGAACTGCAGAAACTGGTCCCCAAGTGCCAAAAGATCCCTATAGAACATGGGTCTGAACAGGTCTCTCCTGTAGAGTCTTGCAGGATGAGCATCTTCAGCCACCCCCTGCAAATCTCACTGTATGGTACAATTTCAAACCTCCGATGCAACCCTTACTCCCAACAGCAAATCACAAGAATTATGGTCAATGGCAAAAAGAAAACCACAAACAAACAAAACAGAGAAAGATGCCAGGGTTTTGACACGTGTCTACTTTCTGTCCTATCACAGTTTAAAGCTATTATCAAATTCAATTAAAAAAAGACAAAATAGAAGTATTCCAGTAGACGTCTCCTAAGAACGATCTCTTACCCACAGCTGAATTTCAATGCACTATTCCATAAACATAACATCTGTTAAATGTTTCAGTAATGAATCTCTCTAAATATCAGGCTTGCCAAAGAAGAAAAATCCTATACAAGCAAGTCTGCTTGACTTAGGTCTAGACATGTTTGATAGATAACTGGGTCTCTCTGAAGCCGTGTTATTTGTTAAAATACTGTCTCGTCTTGGTGTGCAAAGTGGAAAAAATGTTAGTGATTCAGGTATTTGATTTGCTTTTGTTTCCCCCGTGTTAGAGATCAAACCTTTTAATATTAGTTTCAGATATTTGAAAAAATAGCCTTATATGGCTCTCTGGAGAAATTTTCATCCCTACAGAACTGAAGTCATAAATTCTTCCAATAGCTTTCCATAACATTTGAAATGTACTCACTATATAGTTCACCTTTTACCTCGACCTCCAAATAAACCTTTCCCAAGGCCAAAAAATTTGAAGCAGAAGTTTGCTCTGTTAACTTGGCTTTTAGTGATTTCCATGTGAGTCTTTAGAATTTAAAGTCAGGCAAATGCATCTCGGGTAAAACAGTGGCACAGAAATCACAGCTCTGGGACTGAGCGGATCTTTATCCTCTGTCTCCTCCTCACAAGGCTTCTCTGCAACCTACTTACATCTGAACAAATTATAGAAAGTAATTTTGCAGGAGGAAATAATTGTTTTCATGTGCAAAACAATTAGATTTCAGCCAGGACAACCAAAAAAGAAACCATTCAATACCATTTAAGCTGTCTCAGATTCCTTCACTTTTCTCAAGGTGAGCCACAGCTTCCACTGGGAGCTTCCTGCTAAGGCAGAACTTGGATTTCTTTACCTTTCAGTTAAGTGTTCATATGGAGGTATTTTCTGCTAGAAGTTTTACTTTTTAAACAGGTGTTTAAAATGTGCAATGCAAATTCTGGTGCCAGTCAGACACTCTGCACCTGCTGGACTCTACAAAGGCTCAAGTTTGATTTAAGACAAACTAACCAGGTGCACCTACCCCGTTGCAAGTTCTCAGCAAATTAAGCTCATTCCTAATTAGACTTTGATTCTCCTATTAAAAAACCCCACAGGTCGCTCACTCTATCACAATATGTGTTACAAATCTAGCAGAATATCCTGTGTAACCAAAGCCAAATGCTGAACTTGGCTGCATTTCGTTTCGGGGGGAGGGGGGAGGATGGAAGAAGAGGGAAGGGGTTATTGTAACAAAGGGGAGAAAACAGAGTTGGGAACCACCAACAAAAGCCCCGACCCCCCACCCCTCATCCACCAGCGGCGGAAGGGAAACAGCCCCATCTCTAAGTTGTCAGAGTTCTGATGCTTCAGACAGCTTAGCAGGAAGTTCACAGCAAGCTTCTTCTAGCTTTTGATTTGGTGGTCCATGAGCTAGCATCTGTTTCCTTTGGTTGCTTTTTCACTCGACAGCAAACCCACATGTCTCTTCCACAGCTGTCAACAGCTTCTCATAAAGCTTCTCATATGACTCATAAGGCGGAATGTCGATCCGGTTAAAGCTGCAGGGGAAATAACAACACACTGGTGAATCTGAAATATTTATTGGGGGGGAAAAAAATGCTGGAGCAGCTACATATAGATAGAACTTGTGAAAACTCAAAGAAAGCCTCAGCCACTTCAGTGGCCAAAGGAGACGAGATGAAAACCAGCTATTTCTGCAGCAGGAATGCACAGCTTAATAGGGAAGCATTTGGGAGGAGGAGGAAGAGGAGGAGGCCGATGCATGAGACTCGCAAATAAAGCAAGACATGAGGCAGGGCTGCTCCCTGCCCTGCCTGCAGACAGTCTGTGCTGCTGCTGAAACCATTTCCTGCCTCTGATGGAGTGAGATTTCCGTGCAAGGGCTCAGGCTGTGCCTATACTGCACCAACAGCACGAGCTCCTGACGTCTGACATCTGACAAGGATGTAGCTTTGTAATAAAGAAATAAACTTACAAATGTCTTGCTATCCAGAATAATCAACTCAGGGATAAATGAAAACCACAGAGAGCAGAGAAGACAAATCAAGTTTTAAGAAAAGGAAATTATTTTGCTGACTGCAGAGTACAGATATTTCCAAGCTAACAGAGCACACCTGGAGTCATCCATGTGTATCCCATG